TGTCATTAGAGAAGTGGCCTCCATCCACCCACTGCCACAGCTAAGACACCTTGAGTTCCTACTAAGCACAAGTTCTGCTGCACACGGTAGGGCTGCAGTATAGTAAGAAGAGACATGACCCTGTCTCCCGGAGCCTACAGAAACGTTGGATGCTGTTCTTAGCAGTATACTTGCGGAGGAAGTGAGAGAGAAGGCGAAGAGATTGATGTGGGAATGCTGAAGCCACAGGGATGCTGGGGAGAGAGAGCAGGGGGAGAGTAATTTGTCCTCTCAGCTTCCCACATGGAGCCGGTTTAGAAACACATGGGAGAGGAAATGTGGAGAAATCTCAGGAGGAAAATTTGAGGCAATCTAAGGATTGTTTTACAAGAATAAAAATCGTAGCTTGGGGAATATTCCTTGGGTTGAAGTAAAAATATTTGTGAAACGTGATGTCATGTGTTTAACCTGTTCTGCTTTACTGAAGGGGAAAGTCGAGATGACACTGGAGGTCCTCAACGAGAAGGAGGCAGACGAGAGGCCAGCCGGGAAGGGGCGGAATGAACCCAACATGAACCCCAAACTTGACCCACCAAAGTGAGAGGCCCTCTTTGTTCTCCATGCTGTCTGGTCCCCAAACACCTGCAGTCCGAAAGCCCCCCTTCCAATTGGCTTAATGGGATGGATTAGCTATTAGCCTTCTAATTTCATTCTTCACAGTGGGCTGTGGGGGATGCAGTGGCAGGGGCTGGGGCCTCGTTTTAACCATTCTCCTTCCCTGGTGTGGGGACATGAGCTATCCCCCGCCAACTGCCCATGCTAGCAAAAGAGGACTAGTGGATACTGGGAAGGCGGTGGGGCACAGAGGAAAAAAGGGAGGCTGAAACGGATAGCTCAGTTGTATCTGGTCCCAAATGTATTAACTCACTGTCTCTGAACTGCTCCAGTCTGGTAGACAGTCCCTCATGAATTAAGTAGGAAACTATTTCTTGCTTTGCAGCCGACCGGAAACCTCCTTCCTCTGGTTCACAAACCCATGCAAGACCATGCGCTTCATCGTGTGGCGCCGGTTCAAGTGGGTGATCATCGGCCTGCTTCTGCTGCTCATCCTGCTGCTGTTCGTGGCTGTGCTCCTGTACTCACTGCCGGTACGAAACCTGGGCCTCGGCGTCTACAGCCCTGTGGCTCCATAGCCTCTGGGCAGCAACCCTGTCACTCCCCTGCTGCTTTGGAAAGTTTAGTATAGTGTCCAGTGGGAGGAATTGCATCCTTAGTTTTTAACAAGTTACCAGCTTTGTCTGAACAAAGCAAAACAAACAAAAAAAATCACTGGCTTTAAGAATTCTAGGAGAGAGTCCCTAAGAAGTCTTTATTGCTATTTGACTAGATTCTGGGCAGTGTTTCCAGGTGGCTTAATGCCTTTGTGCACATGCGCGTGCATGAGAGAGACAGACAGAGAGAGAGACAGAGAGAGAGAGAGACAGAGAGAGAGAGAGACAGAGAGAGACAGAGAGTCTGTACTCACCCATGCATATATGTGTTGTGGAGGTCAGAGGTCAAGTGTCTCCCTCTGTCATTTGCCAACTTATTTTTTGTGATGGTGTCTTTCACTAACTTGGAGCTTACTGTTTCTGCTAGGACGGCTAGTCAGAGAACTGATATTGTCTCTGCTGTCTGTGCCCCAGAGTCACCATGCCCTGATTTATGTGGGTGTGGGGATCTGAACTCAGGTCCTTGTGCTTGCAAAGCAAGCACCTTACCCACAAAGCCATCTCCCCAGGCCCGTGGCTTCACCATTCTTGTTCCAAACAATCCTGTACTCAAACTCCTGGTCTAGACACCGGTGATCCGCACCATCTCAACAAACCACACACTCCACTCCAAACAGTTACTGCCTCTGCCTCTCTGCATCCCTGTGTCCACACTTTATCTTTCAAGATCTTGCTCTCGATGGTCCATATCACATACAGCTACTCTTTAAGTTTCTCTCAGTTACCTTAGTTATAAACAAGAGTCCAAATGGAAGATGTGGCTGTATGTACAGATGCTGTACTTTTATTCCTCCATGCGGGAAATGCATGGATCATCTAATTAAAATGCAGAGATCAGAAGAAACAGCCCGAGGGAAGGAGGCATAAATACATATTGGCAGTGCAGACCAGAAGATCTGAGCTAGGAACAGTTGACTTTAGGAACCCATTGCTAAGGACATTTTCACTGGTGAAGCACTTAAATGCAGTTAAGTGAAGAATGGATGGTCCAAGCAGAGGAAACCATGAGCAGAGGCAAAGTACATGGCCCTGGATGGAACAGCAGGCATCCCAAGGCTCTTTCTCCAGATCCCTTCCATCTTCCTGTAGATACTTCTAAGTTTGGGGACACAGTCTTGCAGGCACAGTGGCATCTCTATGTATGGCTCCTGTTTTCCCCTGTGTAGTATTTTCAAAGTTGACTTTGATTATATGCACAGTGTTTTCTGGTTGAAGATTATACAATCTGTCTTGACTATTTAAAAAAACCCATTTAGTTATTTCTTCATGATGTAAACTCTACCCTGGTGTCACCCAGAGGAAGATTACCAGTGTTTAGACCTGGAACTCAACGGGTGCACAGTAGATCAAGGGAGGCCAGGGGTGGCTTTGAATGCTAAATGGCAGCCTGTCAGACAGAGAAGCCGCATCTCCATGAATTCACACTGTTTCTGTTTCCCTTTCAGAACTATTTATCAATGAAGATCGTGAGGCCAAACGCATAATGAAAGCAAGGTCTTCAGTCAGTCAGCAGCCTCACACGCTGAAGTGTCATTTCACATCCAAGACCTCCTCAGGTGGTGTGTGAAGTACTTCACCAAGACATGACAGTTCCTAGTGGGCTAAACCTCAAAACTCCGACAACAGGCAACTTCTTACCCTGTTACCACTTTGAAGTATTAAAAACTTTATTTCCTAAACTTTAAGCTTATTTTCAGGGTATTTTTTAAGGTGGCTGGTTCCATTTAAAAATCATCATTTTATGTGTTTTCCTTTCTATGATTCATGTTTGGGGAATTGCTGAAATGAACTTGAAATGCTCTGTGTCTTATTGCCGTATCGTTCTTATTTGTAAGAGATACAGGGGATGGTTCGAATAGCTTATTTGTGCCTGCAACCATTGTTGTGGAATTCTGTACAGACAAATGTCAAGAGACTCTTTGCAGCCTCAGTGGCGAATGCAAATAAAAACATCTCACCAGTACGCATGCACATGTGTCCTCTATTTCAATTTCAGTTCCTCTGTTCCAGGTGGGCAGAATGCCATGGCATTCCACTTGACAATAAGCCCTCTATGAGTGTGCTGCCAATTTGGACCAGTGGATTCAATAATAAAGCTAACACTTATGACTAGTGTTGTGACAGCCTGCTGCCCTATTTGAAATGCTGTATGTGTGTCACACAGTGAATCTGCAGTGTATCCCATAAACTTAGGCCAACAATACTAGTAACCCCATTTTACAGTAGAAGAAACTGAGGGTCACAGAAGTTGAGTAGCTTTTCCAAGCCCACACAACCAAAATATGATAGAGCCTGGATTTAAACCCAGGGATGACAGCTCTGCCACCATCCCACTCCCACCCCCAATTTATGTGGTACTTCATGGATACTAGGTAAGTGCTCTACCACCTGAGGCACATGCCCAACATCCCCAGCCTCCCTTAAGATGTATACAGGCATGTATATCTGTGTGAGGGTGTCAGATCCCCTGGAACTGGAGCTACAGACAGCAGTGAGCTGCCATGTGGGTGCTGGGAATTGAACCCAAGTCCCCGAGAAGAACAGCCAGTGCTCTGAACCACTGAGTCATCTCTCCAGATCTCTTAAAGAAATACTATAGTAAGGAAAGTCAGGAACATCACAGTGTGACTCCATGCCAGTACCAAAGATGCTCAGCATGTCTGCAAGGATAAGTGAGAGCACTGTGTTGTTCATATGTGTAAGAGAAGGTCGTGAAGTCACCAACAGTCCTAGTCAAACAACACTCAAGACCAAGGAGCAAGAAACGGGGCAACAATTCCACGTAGCTGGAAATTTGGACAGTTTATACTGCAAATGCAACTATTGACCTCATTTCTGAGATGTTCTATGGTTTTGATATTTTAATTCCCTCTAGTGTCCTGCCAAAATTCCCAACAGTCCAAGTGTACTCAATAACAACAAACTGTTAAGAAATGACAGCTCTGGCTGAATGGACGTGCTCGTCAGCCCCATGTCACCTGAACCCTCCCTCAGTGAGAATGTGCATAGCAGCCGCACTTGTGAAAGGCCGTGGCTCCCATTCACTGGCAGAACTCCTGAATGCCACTTTCTCCTTGGCACCTAGGCCTCAAGTGATTCTTCGGTCTCAGAGGAGAGCTGGTTATCTCAACATTTCTAGAGAAATGCAGACAACGAAAGGCCTACAAACATCTGTGCACTTTGACTCAGCAAACTCCACTCCTAAGTATTAACTCCAAGGAATTAATCATATGGGTAGAGGAAGGTTCACGTACAGAATCCAGAGAACAGTGTTCCTACTAATGCCACTAGCTGTGACCTTCCTGAGTATCCATTATAAGGTGACAAATGATGATAAAGATCCCGTATAGACTTGATAAACTTGAATTTTATCTTTTCTCAGGGTGCATATCCACAGAAGATAAGGTCTAGATGTGGAGAGTCAGTTGGCATTGGAGTTTCTTGAATCTCTTCCCACAGAGTCTAAGCTGGGTTTGAACACTGCTATTGTATGTTTCACTTGATAGCTGTGAGCTGTACTTCATCTTTACAGCTGACTGTAGGCTCCTGGAGGCATGAGATGCACCTCTAAGACCTGCACCCCAGGGTACCAAGGTGCAGCAAGCTTGGATTTACATCCAAGAAATAGTGTCACCTCTAAACTGAGGTGAGGGTGTTAAGTGTCCAGAAGGCTTTCGGTGCCATGGCATTAATATCACATTCAACTGATTAAAGTTGGGTTGGGTGTGTTGCTTAAATGTGGAACCGGGAATGGGCCCACTGAGTAGGAGGGACCTAAGGGCTGCATCTACTTCCCGAGCTGCAGCTGCAAGGTAGGGGGATTCAAACTCATGGTGTGGGAGTCCAGTGGTAGCGGGGACACCTCCATGCTCAAGGAGAAGAGGTGCATGTCCTGTTGATTGTCTCTGACTGTACACGCAGACCCCTATGTTACTGGTATTGTCAGACCTTTAATTAAGGAAGTCCACTCCCCGCAGGTGAGGCTCTCAGGTACACATTGTCTTCCAGCCTTCTAAGTCACACTGAACCCACACCCACACAATCACTTCCTGACACTAAGGTACCAGTTGAAGGCCCACAGCTAATTTCAAGACAGAATTTTAAGGTGGTATATTCTTGTTTTGGAGGGCTTGGGGGGGCTGCTTCTGTTGCTTGCTTACTTGTCTTTTTGGTTTGGTTGGTTGGTTTTTGATTTTTCGAGACAGGGTTTCTCTGTGTAGCTTTGGAGCCTTTCCTAGAACTCACTCTGTAGTGAACTGGCCTCGAACTCACAAAGAGAGATTCACCTGCCTCTGCCTCCCTGTGCCACCACCACCCGGCCAAGGTGATATATTCTTAGAGTGGGCGTGGGAAGGGGGATCACAAAAGAGTGTTCATTGTTCCAGATATGGGACCTTATTTGAAGATTTTCACAATTAGTATAGTACTGGTGTGGACCAATTAGAAAGGGTGTCTTTACACATCATGACAGATACAGGCTATTTAACATTCTAGAGCAGCCCATCATGCCAGTAGGTGCGGACTGGTTTCAGCCTTCATTCTGGGGACTCCAGCCACCATATTCTCCACAATGCCTCGCTGAGAGAACACTTGCCAAGTAGACAAGGGAATGGCTGACAGGAGAGTCTCTTCCTCGCCATACCTGTGTGGCGTCATTAACTGAAAGTCAGCAGAACTCTGCTAGGAAGAAATGATTCACGGGGAGTAGCAGGCAAGGCTTTCTTCCCCTCCCTCAGAAAATGCTTCATCTTGTCGAAAGATAATGGTCCCTCAATTGAGGTTGTTAGCTATAAATGATAGCTAAAAGCTGGAACTAATCCCAGTCCAGTCTGATTGTCGCTTCACTGTGAATTAAATAACACTCAGTCCTAACTCGTTGTAGCAAGTGCCACCATCAACACTGGAGCCTTCACTAGGGAAAGGAATCTCTGTCAGTGTGGGAGGGAGAGAGAGCTGGAGATTCTGATGGGCTAACACTGGATTTGCTTTTGTTCTTCACTTTTTATTTTAAGTTATGTCACCAGCAGACCTTCCCGTTGGTTAACAAGCTATTTAAGAGGTGGGCAAAGTTCTGGAACCCACAATGGGGCAGAAAGGGGCCAGTCTGCCTGGCTTCCCAGTTGCTGGCCCTATGACAGCCCCATGCCCCCTATGAGTCCTACCCTGGTTCTAAAGGTCGTTTGCCCCAGGACTGGAGCTGTTTCATTTGACCGTGGAACTGATGATTGCACTAATGTTAAAAAGTGAGAGTCCCGGCCGGGCGGTGGTGGCGCACGCCTTTAATCCCAGCACTCGGGAGGCAGAGGCAGGCGGATCTCTGTGAGTTCGAGGCCGGGCTGGACCGATAGCCTCCAAAACAATACAGAGAAACCCTGTCTCGTAAAAACCAAAAAAAAAAAAAAAAAAAAAAAAAGTGAGAGTCCCTCCTAGGACTCCACCATATGGAGAAGCAACCTGATTTCAAAGTCTTAAACCCTCTACATCATAAGCATTCCGAGCTAAAGAGCTTCTTTGGCCGGCCGATTCATGGTGCACTCTGGACTATAGTCACACAGCTTCTGCAGGCAGATGGGAATTCCATTCAAGGGACGCTCTGTAAAGTCTGCTGTGTGGAATGAGTTCATAATGAGTGAACGTTGTAAAGAGATTAAGTGCCCACCATCTTTGCAGCTGAGCCTTGTGTTTGTTCAGAGTTGAATGAGAACTCCCTAATCTTCCTTCAGTTAAACATGGTGAGGTCCCAAGGAAGATGAAAGGGAGGCCACTTTCCCCCTGGATATACATCCGTGAAGTGAAATGCCAGAGTTCACGAAGTTCAAGAAAAACACAAGACAGACATGTAGCTGGGACTAGCTTTGAGGCTTAGAGAGTATGGGGACATAATGGGAAATGCAGGCCTATGTGTGCTGGGCGCTCTCCTGACTAGGGTGCAAATTTCCAAGAGATGCTTTGCTCCAGGTCTTAATGATCCGAATAAACTGAATTAGCTTTGTGTGTGTATGTGTGTGTGTGCACGTGCGTGAGTGTGTGCACGGGTATGCGTGTATGTGGGAGTGTGGGGGTATGGGTGTATATGTGTGCGTGCATGCCCCCAAGATAATGCACATATATAACTTTTGCATTTGATCTCAGTCAAAAGTCAAGAAACAATGAAAAAAATCATGATTTTTGGAACAGCTCCCTCTAAGCATACTGAATGCTTCTAAGGGCAACCTGATTTTGCCAAAATTCATCTCAACTTCTCACAAGGGCTCTTTCAGCCCTTGACTAGTATTAATGTGCCACTTCCATGTATTTTCACAAAGTCCTAGAGCCAAACCTGTAATCCTCTCCCCTCATATTTCAGTGAAGTCCTGCCTGGGTAATTACCAGGAGGAGGACCAGGGATATCCAGCTGGATCCAGATGCGGCACGGCAGCCTCACAGCTGAGGTTTCACCTGGGTCAACAGGATAAACAAAATAAATGATGGAATCCTGTCTTAGAGAGAGCAGGGGCCAGGGGATTCCAGACGTCTGCAAGCCTGTGAGCTCAGCACAGCTTGGTCACAACATAACCCCAAGAGTAGCGGCATCTCCCCCAGGGAACCCAAGTTCCCTCCCTGGAAGAGTGAACCCAGAGTTCAATGATCTTGTCTGTCCCCACATCGTTCAGGTTCCTGCTTCTTTGTGACTTGGTTTCACTATGTGTAAGATAGGGACAATAATCTTCACAGACTATGAAGATAGAATGATTTAACATACGGATGTGTTCGGGACAGAGTAAGTCCTCAGTGGCCTTTACGTGTTGTCCTGGTCAGTACCATCCTTACGACAGAACAGGAGCTGCCCAACAGCTGTAAGTCAGAGATGACACACGTGACAAATGCAGACACAGAAAGTGGGCATGGTGATGGGCACCCATCATTCCAGCACTCCAGAGGCAGAGGCAAGAGACTCAAGAATCGAGGAGGCCAGCCTGAGCTACTGAGTGAGAATCGGTTGCCAAGAAACAAGTCGCATCGATCATTGATACTCTAAGTGAGGCCACCCCAAGTTCTGACTGTGCAACCCTAATTACAGAAAGCAGCAGGGGCAGATGTGGCAGAATGCACACTTGGCAAATGTACATACACGTGGCACATACAAAGTCCTGGGGTCAATCCCTAGCACCCCAAGTGAAAGGATAAAGGGAGGGGGAGAGGAAGAGAGGGAGAGAAGGAAAATAGAGAGCAGAGCGCCAGTATTCCAAAACTAAACAGTTGTGCCAACCAATCTAGCACTTCTTCTGAATGTGTTCAAAGGAATGAAAATAGGGACGCAAAACCATTTTTGCAGTCTTACCATGAATGATCAAAGGTAGGAATAAGCTACTGTACACTGAATATCTGTGCCCACCTCACCAAAATTTACACTAGTCCCGGGTAATGATTTTAGGAAGTGGGGCCTTCAAGAGGTGGCTGTGTTTTGGGGTGGAACACTCGTGATTGCGTGGCTAATGTTCTTATAAAAAGAAATCCAAAGGAGCTTCCTATCCCTTCTTCTGAGGACACAGTGAGAAGATGGCCAGCTATGGACAGAAATCAGGTCCTTACTAGACACAAGAACCAGCTGGTGCTCTGAGCTGAGACTCCCCAACCTCCACCATTATCAGGAACAAATTTCTGTTGGTTATAAGCTTCCAAATCAGCAGTGTTCTGACATATTGGGCCAATGGACTAAGATACTACTCAAGGGATCACTGATGAATGAATGACAAATAAAATGTAGAATATACACACAAGGGAATATTGTACAGCCTTAAAAATCAAAGACATTCTGACATCCTACAATATGACCAAACTTGAGGACATTAAGTGAATAAGCCATACGGGAAAGGACAAATACATAATAAAATACCTTCTTTGTTCAAATTCTTAGAGGAAGTTAGGAAATAAAGTGCTGGTTCCTGGAGGCTGGGGGAAAAGTGGAATGAGGGAGTTGGATTATACAATTTCAGTTTTATAACATTCAGAGTTCTACGGCTAGGCTTAATGTCATTGAACTACACTTAGAATGGTAACGCTTATGTTATATATATTTTACCTCAAAAACAGTATAAGTGATAAAAGTACTTCTCATACCCCCTGAGAATCCAGGAGCCTCCACTTTTTCTTATTTCCTGTAGAAAAGCATGTGCCTGACTCCTGAGGACAGGTGGTACCTGTTGATAGTCCCCGGATGAATCTTGTTTCAACACACAGGTCTTCATAGATCTTTTAACGGCTAAATCCTAGGATAGCTGCTGGTATTTAAGAATCGGGAAGAGTAGTCCAGAGTGAGCAAGCTGGAGGTTGTTGGACGGCCGGAGCTTGTTTCTTCAAGCTCTTCAGGCAGTGATTCTGACAGTGAAGTTGAAAAAAAGTTAAAGAGGAAAAAGCAAATTGTTCCAGAAAAACCTGTGAAGAAGCAAAAGCCTGGTGAGACTTCTAGAGCTTTGGCATCTTCAAAGCAGAGTAGCAGCATCAGAGATGATAACATGTTTCAGATTGGGAGGATGAGATACGTCAGTGCTCGGGACTTTAAAGGAAAAATTCTAATTGATATTAGAGGGTATTGGATGGACTCAGAAGGCAGAATGAGACCATGGAGAAAAGGTATTTCTTTAAACATGGAGCAATGGAGCCAGCTGAGGGAACAGGTCTCTGACTTAGATGATGCAGTAAGGAAGCTGTAAAATCCGAGCCATATCAAACCTGTACTGTTGTAGTTGTTTTAATCTGTCTTTTTACATTGGCTTTTGTTTTCTAAATGTTGTTTTCCAAGCTGTTGTGTATCTGAATGGCAGAACAATTTGTAAGATGAATACTTTTTTTTTAATGTGCATTATTAAAGTGTTCTGAGTGAAGCTAAATGTCAACTTTATTAAAGAGGATTGCTTTGTGCCCTCTACCTAGTGTAAAATAAAGTCATTACAATCTTAAATGTTGTAGCTTCTTTTTATCAAAAGACTAGTTTATTGTTTAAGGACAAAAGAACAACCTTTATAGGCATATAATTGACTATGTTTAGAGGGATTTGTATTGCATTGAACTTCTTAGAGGATTGCTTTGTGAGATGCTTCCTCAAATCTCTTCCTTTCTAAGCAAATTTGTTGAATTTTTCTCAGTTTCCCCAGTAACTCACGTAGCTCATGTTCCATTTCTACATCTCTTTACTTGGATATATTATGCTGGTTTGAAAAGTCAAACTGTCATTGTTATTGCCTCCTAAGTCTACTGTGTTAAATATTAGCAGATAGTTATTTGATAACATGGCTTGTATGAGAGCTCCAAGCAAGTGTATGTCATTATTCAAAGCTCTGTGTAGGTGTGACTTAGTCTACAGAACAGTGACTTTGATGTCTGATGAGCTTTCACTTAGTAAACATATTCACACCAGAATGATGTCTGTAAAGTCAGATATTAAACTAGATTAGACTTTAGTTAAAAATTGTGAAACTTACTGACTTACTATTACATTCTAATAATGAGTGGATTATATGTAGACATGCCACTGACCTTTATGTGAACAGTTGTTAAGACTTAGCTGTTTTAATCTGGACAAGAGACTTCTAGACTTCATGCTAAGTTTGAAAACTACTGTTCGCTGGTTTTCATTTTAACCACAATGATAGACAGGCACAGACAGATTTCAGGGTTGTTGCCCTAGTGAATAGGGCAGTGTTCCTTAGGGAAAGAGTGCTACAAAGAAACTCACACACTGAAGGGACCTGGCCTGTGATGAGAAAGGAATTTTCGTGAAACTAAATGGTGTGTACATGATATTTTGGTGACAACAATATGGCAGTGGTAGGTAGAATACTAACTAACAAGGATGGTTTAAAGACATGTAAATACTAGCTGCCAATAAGGGGGCTGCCATGTCAGAATTGCACTATCTTATAACCACGTTTGGTTCTATTGTCTAAACATTTTATAGAATTGTCAAGGATTTAATTTAAAAATCCATCTGCCAGGCCTCATGAACCTGCCCTCCCACAGATATTCTTTAGGTAATTTTAGTGTGTTATTGCAAATTGATAAAGAAATCTCACTTATTTTACCTTGATAAGAACCAAAGTGTTCAAGAAATTATTATATACCTTACTCATTCTTGAGGGATACTCTCCTTATTTGGAACATCACATGTGTTGCATTTCATTAACATAATTAGTTTTGTAAAGTATTATCTTGCCATTTAGAGAAAGGGCAGTTAGAACATAAACTTCAGTGTTGATGAAGAGGGAATAATAGGCACATTTGAATTCAGAAGTATGTGTGCATTTCAACCATCTCCTTTGGAGAGATGGTGCTGTCATCTGTTACCTAGGCATTACTAGCTGCTTAGCATAATAAAATCTCCATGTGGAAAGCTTTCTCTGGCATAATCTGTTAGGGTGATAACTAAATTCACTCACTAATATCACAGGCTAAGTAGTATACCAGAGTTATTAAACTTTTTCTTTCTGCCTGTAGAAAAGGAGAATTAGGTTCAATGAGTAGACTAACCCAGACTGAACAGGAAGGTACAGCCCATCTGTTTTGTGTTCAGACTCTTATCTCCTCAGTAAGTGTTTTAGTTCCTTTTTTGTTGCTATGGTGAAGGTCCCTGACAAAGTAGTTCAAGGGAGAAAGGGATGATTCCGACTCACAGTTCAGGCTACTGTCCATCTTTGCAACCAGTCGCAACAGCAGAAACTCCACACATCTAGACACATTACATGCTAGTTAGGCAGCTGAGAGTCATGAATGCATGCTCAGTTAGTTCCTTCTCCTCTTCATTTAGTCTTTGACTTAGCCATGAAGAGTAGACAGGTCTTTCCATCTCAAAGGAATCAAGATAATGCTCTAACATACCTAGAGGCTCACCTTCCATATAATTCTAGATTCTGTTAAGTTGGCAATTAACACTGACCATCACAGTAAGATTTCTCCAGGAAGGGGGCTTGATATTTTGAGGCATAAGTATCTCATTTACTTTGCTGAGATAATTAGTATCTGTTGCAGGCTTTGCCCTTTAATATGGTCAGCAGCAAGGCTTCCATGGGTTTTCCTCTTTGTTTTTAGAGTAAAAGCAGCCTTCAACCAATTTTCTAGTGCCCGTGTCATTTCATTTAAACACATCACTTAGAAAAACTGTATTTTCTTTTGTTTTGCTCCACAAATGCTAAAAATTTGGGAAGTACTACCTCATTACCTAGTCAAGATCCTGTGATAACCAATCTATTATTCTGCATAGTATCTTAGAGACAGCAACTTAGAGAAATTCATGGAGGAAGATGCATCCTGGCCTGGCTACAGAGGGAAGAAGGGACTGAACGTTTATGTAAGTGTTCCTGACAGAAATGTTAATACAGCACTTGCCATAAAGACTTGACAATCTTAAGAACTGTTGAGTTATATTTAGGTATCTCTTCTGGAATTCTTTGTGGTTCACTTTTTATGGAAATTAAGGTAGTGAAACATTAAAAAAATATTAAGAAAGGCGTTTTCCAGATAAACTGTAGTGTAAAATATGCAGAGAGTGAGGAAGTATGTAATCCTACAATTATGGAATGTCTGTGTGCTTTGTCTGGTACATCCTCTATGGAGGTGTCAATGAACCTATACTCCACCTGTGAATATTTTAATGTTGAAATAAAAACAATAAATGAAAATTTAAAAAAAAGAATCGAGAAAAGTCGCATATATAAAATAATTTACTGGATGTTTCTCTGACATATTGACAGGTCTGTCAGGACTTCACAGTAAAGAAATGGGCTGGAGACATGTACCACCAAGTCAACACAGACCTGTGTGCCATGGACCCTTGATGCCCAGACCCTCAGGGCTCGGGTGTAGGACTCAGTTACGTTCTGTTCATGGCATCAGCAGATTGTGGTCTCCATGCAAGACAGAATGAGCTGGGAGCTCCCATGTTGAGAGCCCGTCTCTGCCCTTGCAGCCATGCCCTGTCTACTCCGGACTTGAGAGGAGTAGCCCCCTTTGTGTCAGACCTTCATTACAATCCAGACGTCCCAATTGGACCATGACCTCAAGATCCCAGGGACATGCAGTTAACTGCACCCAGCAGGGTGGCTCAGAAGTGCAAATCCATATGGTCTATACGATCAGATACTCAACCTTGCTGATGAGGAGGAAAATTACAAGGAGATAACACACAAATTAACAAATTGTATGTGTGGGGGGAACAAACCCAAGGCTTCCATGTGTGAGGCAAACATTCTACTACTGAGCTACATCCACAGGCCTGAAATGGTTTTGATGCTCACTATGTAGTTCAGTCTAACTCTAAACCCTCAATCCTGCCTGTGCCTCCTGCGTGCAGGGATTACAGTTGTCCACAACCAAGCCTAACTCTTGCATCACAAGGTTTTCTACTGTAAAAAGCTTTTTGCTTCCAACTTTTAATTTTGAAAAGATTAGAGTCACTTCTCTTCCTAATCCAACTGAGTCTCTGAACAGAACATTGAGGTTAAAACTGAAGTAGACATGAGGGTGTACACCTTTAGTCACAGAACTCAAAGGCAGAGGGAAGTAGAGCTCTGAGTTTAGGCCACCCGGTCTATTCAGGCTACATAGTAAAGCCCTGTCTCAGAATAAATAAGTACCTTATTTTTGAGTAAACAAACCCATTTCACAGATCATCTAAAGATGGAATGCAAAACAAAAGCTTCATTCTTGGGGCAATTCAAAGCCACTGGTAGATAAGTCCGAGAGTCATGTCTAGCCAGAAAACAGAGGTCCTGTAGCGACTTCAACAGAGGTAACTGATACAAAAGGCACCTCCCCATGCAGAGGAAGGGACAGACAGGAGTGTGCTGCCCAGTAGGAGCAGGGACTTCAAATGACTTGCAGATACTGTCACATACATTGCCCATAGCAGAGCTAGAGAGAAAGAAGCGTCCTGTGTTCTCTTCCCTCTGTTCTCTACCCAAACTAAGCCCAAGAACACATTTGCCCAGGTTAGTTCTTTATCAGACAGGAGAGTGAGAGTAGAAATAGCCTGTGCACACACAGGCAAGGAGACTGCAGAGCCCAACCATCCATTCAGGGTACACGGTATCATTTCAGCCGTCCATTTCTCCATGTCACTCATGAGGAAATCTCAGAGGAATTGTTCAGGAGCCCTTGTCTCCTAACAATTCGCTTCTGAAACCAAGATTCAGACCTGAACAATCTGGCGCCAAAGTCGCTCTGAACTGCTAACACCACTTTGAGATAGATTATAGTCAAGTCGGATGAACTATTAACCAGATCGAACAAAGGGACCAAAAATCTAAAGCTGAAATCAAGTTACTTAACAACTGTCCTGCGTTGGTTTCTGTGACTGTGATAAACTCTGTGAGCAAAAACAAGCTGAGGAGGAAAGGGATTGTCAGGGTTCTAGGCCACAGTCCATCGTGAAGGGAAGCCATGACAGGCGCTCAAGGCAGGAGCCTGGTGACAGGAGCTGAAGAAGCAGCATGGTATGTTGTAGGAGGGCAGCTGGGCCGTTCTACACCATGTCGTGCAAGGCTGAACACACTTCCTCTCCAATTATCACTCTCAAGGTTTTCAATGGAGCCAGAGAGGTGGCTCAGAAGTTAAGACTACTTCTGCTCTCACGGAGGACAGGGTTCTGTTCCCAGCACCCATTTTGGTTGGCACACAACCATCACACTCCATCTCCAGGAAACCAATGGCCTCTTGTGGCCTCTGTGGGCACTCACACTCAGGTACACACCCACAGACGTGCGCGCGCATGTGCGTGCGCGCACACACATTTTAAAATAAAATAAATCTTTTTAAAATTAATGTAATTAAGATCATTAC